TTAGTACATATATATATATATATATATATATATATATATATATACCATTTAGAAGAGTGCTAGAGATACACAAAAAACATTCACCAACACTGCTAACAGCAAATGATTATTGCATCAGAAATATTAGAAGTGACTTTATCCTCTTAAAAACGGTAATGCAGTAATACCTATTAGTTCGCAATGGCGGAAAACGAAAGAGGAAATTATTGACTTTCACTTAAAATCAGCCATTAGAACCAACATGCAACCGCGACATACGCCAACACTAAAAATATTAATAAAATAATGAGCTAAGTACCACACAAAGCTATAAATCAAACGTGTTTAGGGACAGGAAATTGAGCGCACTTAAATAGTATAGATTATTTTTTATTTTTTTCCATAACTGGGAAAAAATATTTTAGTTCCACTCCAGCACACACACACATGCAAACTCTATTCCGCTAAGAGTTAAACTAACTAACAAGAGTTCCAACACAATTGTTCGCATATACAGGAAATGAGAAAAGTCTAGAAAGGAAAATGATCTTTTCAGTCCAGAAACCTCATGTCGCTTTCAACCACCGCTGACCACATCAATCTTTAGCTTTCCCCTTAAATGGACTCATCAGTGTATGTTTTATTTTTAAAGGAGTAAAATAAGAAGCGATTTTTTTATGTCATGGCTAGAAGTTGAATTATTAGATAGTGCTTTTCTTTCAAAGGGATTCAGTTGTTTTTACGTAAACGGAAACTCCTATATTCATTCTTCAGCCGCAGACAACTTCATCGCGCTGTGCGGGAGATGCCAGATGACCTTTCAGACCCCAATCCATCCTTTCGAAGTCCTTTTTTGTCGGAAAACCGGCCGGATAAACACACTGCGAGTCCTACTAGCGTGACAGATCCCGCCAAGACACCGACCGTGGCCTTCGAAAGGGAGGACTAAAGCGAATTCATATGAAATTGATTATCATCCCCAAAAAGTGACCTCCGCTGACGGGAAAACCAATCATTAAACACATCGATACCCTTCCGCAAGATACCACCTAGAGCTTGCTGCCCATTCCATAAATCGCGCAGGAAATCGCGCAGGCGTCGCCATAACGCAACACTCCCAGGGAGGATATCGTCATCTAGCGGCAGATTCCCCCCCACATGGCCTCCGGTGGGATTCACGTTCTCCATCCGTTCCCACATAGTATAGTGGTACGGATGGCATAACTGCTGCGCCTCGCAGAAAGCGCTTGCCCTGGGCAACTCGTGCGCCTGAGGTTCCGCACCGCCTGAACTCGCGCCCGGCAGGAGGACCTGAAGTGCGGCCGTCAAAAACGCGTCGCTGATCTCCTCGAGCGTGTCCTCGCAGACGGATCGGATCCCCCTCCGAAACACCTCCAGACCGCCGCCCAGCCCCGCCTGAACGCCCTCAGGGGTCTTGACTTGCAGACTCGAATGCTTCTCCCTAAGCCGATCACAGAGACCATCAATGCCGTCGTGCAGCTCCACTGCCATGCGCTGCCGGGCGCCACGCACCTGCGCGGCGGAATACGCGCCACCGATATTCTCCCCCGTTGACGCCGCCGAGGAGGGCGGCTTCCCGATGTAACGCGTGTAGCGCTCTCGGATGGAGGGAAGGGAGTCGTTGAGGAAGATCTCCGATAGCTCCACACACGCACGGCAGACAAAGGACCCCTTTGTGTTTTCAAGGCTGTCTTTACGCGGGGGCAAAGCCGTCTTCACGCCAACGTCCGGGTCCGCCAGGACATCCATCGCCGTGAGCAGCCCCATCACTAACAGAACAGCCAAACCTACAATAGTAGGCTGCTGCGCTTTTCGATAATACTTGATAAATTGCATGGGATTAGTCTTCCTGGTCTATTTATATTGGATTTTTCCTTTTCCCCTTTTTTTTTACAGAAGAGAAATGTCAATCAAAGAAGTACAACTAAGGTGATACTCATTCTTTTGGAGGTCCTGTTAGACCTTAAAATTAATAAAAATACTGTGCAAAAGTAATCAAACAGAGAGTCAAACACAAAAAAAAATGGGAATGAATGGTAAAAAACTCTTTGGAGTGGTATCTGTGAAAATCTAGTATCATACATGCGTCAGGTGAGAAAGATACACATTCTACGTATGATACACATGATACCCTTTTAGCCCCAAAAGTTAGCACCCTAAATCTACTTTGGGGGCTAGAATATGACCATGAATTTAGTGAGTTATTTGGAAGAAAAAAAGGAAACGAGGACGTGAAAAAATGTGAGGCCACTGTATATGGCATGAAAACCAGCCCTCACCACCACACACACTGGATCGTATATCACTTACATTGTAAAAAGCGAGAAATGAATTTTAAAAAAATGTAAAAAGAAATAAGGAGTTTTTTATTAGCTTATTTTTTCCTTTGAAGCTGCAAGGTGTACTCCTAAAAAGATCACAATACTGAAAACGAAGATGATGGGGGTGGGGATGATGAGATATACCACTATAGCATCTGATATGTGAGGGCTGGGGAACCTCCCAAGAAGTCGATAATTTACCCTGCCTCTTTATTATTTTACACAACGCTCCTTTAGTACGGCATTCGGTTGTATTGCAGACGCATATGTATATATGCAAATTCAGAGATCCAAAAACCTTGACATCGGAAAGTAATAGTTTTATGCCTTCAGAATCTTGAAGAAATGGATCCTCGGAATTTGCAATTCTAATTACGATACCAAGCTATTGAGTCAGCGCTGCTGCTCTTTATTCCTGATTATCTATTTAATTTTAAATTACAGAAAACGAGATGCACTTAAAAAAAAAAGAATGAATCAACAACATAGTCTATCTTCCTTTCATACAAATTGCACAATGACTAAGCTATTCAACATAAATATATAAAAATATGTTTTGATCCTTTCATACTTAAAAAAAAAACTAATACTAAAAGAATTCTAAAAATCTCACTGTAAACAACCACCTATTAGCCCTTGGATTTTCTGTTTTCCCTCGAAAAGATCTCTACCTTCCTTTATAACTACGTTGGCTACGATAACGAGAATGTTTACTATAATTCATTGTCTGAAATCATTTGTATCAGTGAGGATGAAATGAGGTTATTATGATTTGTAAAAGGAAATAAAAACAGTAAAACATAACCCCAGTGTGCTTCATACAATACTAAATGATTTCCCGATTAAACAGTTGTTTGAAAAGGTAAATCGAAGCGAGTTAAAACACGGCTTAGCACATTTTTGCATTAAAAAGTCTCGTTTTTCTTATCCTGTGTGACTGCACATAAAAAAAGTAAAAGGATTTATACCGTCCTCTTTTTTGAACTCTTATTCATTGCACTGTTATGAACGTAGGTGAAGTTTTGATTAAAATAATAGTATAGCCTCAGACTAATTGTAAAACAAGTTATACGATAACCATTAGAAGAGTGGAAGACGAAAATGGAAAACGCAATCCTCTATGAACAGACTCAAGAGTATGAAATGCACAAAAGCCTCAGAGAGGAAAAATACCAATAAAAAGAAAGATACCTCAATGGGAATATTATAGTTGAATGAATAAAGTTGATATAGTAAAAGAAGAGTATAAAGCTACACACGCACAAAATATAATTATAAAAGGAGTCAAACGGAATATATTTTCCTCGAAACCCAAAGGGTGACCAAACATATACCAATACATATTGGACATATTTACGAAGAAAATAAGTGGGTGGGAAAAAAAATTCAAGAGAATAATTAGCGCTGTGAATTAGCCTCATAGAATTTCCTGAAGGAAAGAATTCAGACATACAAAAAAGCAACTTTTGGCGTCCCCATGTTTGTAAAACACTTTGAATACTATGCCCGAATATAAACAAGTAAGCTGTCATGTATGTGTATTCATCCACTGAGCTCAAGGCAGCGGTATGCAAGGCGATACAAGAAAAACGGGAAGATTTCTATAACATTCACAGCGTTCTGTGAACAAACGACAGAAAGTGGGAAAAAAAGAGAGGTGGTAGTACTGAGGTGTGAATCATGTCTGGATCCCTGACAAAAATACACAGAAAATGGGGACCAAAGAGACTATGACACGGCACAAAAGGAATGAAAAACTAAATCAAAATGTTACTCTCTCCACCCACCTCTACAATAATGCTTTCAAACACATAAAGTTCACTAGAAACCTATTTTTGTATGCCAATTACACTAATCCACGTGAAGTGATCAACTTCACTACCACTTTCAGCACGGGATGCATCGCAAACAGTGCAGCGGTGGAAGTCTCACCCAGAACTCACGTGGATCCTCGAGAGCCTTAAGCAAGTCGGAATTCAGTGCATTGAAGAAAAAGCGAGGGAATGTCGTGATGTCGTGGCTCTCACCCAGCTCAGGGATTACGGACGCACTCAAGCACACCCCTGCAGTCGTATGGGGCGGCTCACCACCACCACGAAGAAACGCATCCAACATGGTGCATCGCATTCCAAGAACGTTGTCCGCATATCGGGCTGCCAACTCGGAAACCTTTTGGGTTATTAGCGGATTCACCTTCTCCATCGCCAGCCCAATGGCCATCAACACACTCAGCACATAGCCGTGAAAAGCCACGTCGCGGTAGTAAAACCCTTCAGCGTCTGTCAACGTATCTATCGTTGATATCCCACCACACAATGAAGATGGAGGGCATCTTAGCAACTCCCCTTGATCCTGCGATCTCAGTGCACTGGCCCCCTTTGTCCCATACCCTTCTTCTCCCTCCTCAGGAAGAGAAGAAATCACGGCACTCAACACATTTTCAGGAGCATCCGCGATGATATCGAACATGTTTGCACAACCCACGCTCCTATCTGCCTCCTCCTTGGAAGAGAACCAGGTGAAGTCAACATCGGAAAGCCCATCGCTTCGACCAACTCGGGAGCATTCGATCGCCGCCTCGTCAAGAAACGACACGACGCGGCAGGGGCGGACTGGGGCGAAGGGGTCCCCGAGCGAGCCCGGCCCTGACTGCCGCGCCTCGCTCACGGGAGGGCGCCGCACCGGCTCGAGCGGGACGTCGTGGCAGGTGCTCAAGGTGGCCTC